CTCCAGAGGACCCTGTATGTCTCTCTTAGGGTCCTCCTTGTTTCCTAGCTTCTCTGGAGGTGTGGATTGTAGGCTGGTAATCCTTTGCTCTATATCTAATATCTATATATGAGTGAGTACATAACATGCTTGTATTTTGTGACTGGGTTACCTCATTCAGGATGGTTTCTTATAGTTCCATCCATTTGCCTGTGAATTTCAAGATTACATTGTTTTTGTTTTTCTGCTGAGTAGTACTCTATTGTGTAAATGTACCACATTTTCTTTATCCATTCTTCAGTTGAGGGGCATCTAGGTTGCTTCCTGGTTCTGGCTATTACAAATAATGCTTCTAAGACCATAGTTGAACAGATGTCCTTGTTGTATGTAAGTGTATCCTTTGAGTATATACTGGGTCTTGAGGTAGACCGATTCCCATTTTCCTGAGGAACCACCATATTGATTTTCAAAGTGGCTGTACAAGTTTGCACTCCCACCAGCAGTGAAGGAATGTTTCCCTTTCTCCACATCCTCTCCAGCATAAATTGTCATTGGTGTTTTTTATTTTAGCCATTCTGACATGTGCAAGATGGTATCTCAGAGTTGTTTTGATTTGCATTTCCCTGATGGCAAAGGATGTTGAGCACTTTTTTAAGAGGCTTTCAGCCATTTTAGATTCCTCTATTGAGAATTCTCTTTTTAGTTCTGTAGTGGGCTCTCTTTTTACACCTATCTGAGAATGTGGGAAATTTCAAAGGGCAGGCCTAACATCAAGCTCTCTGGAAGGAGGCAGAGGAGGTGGAGGCAAACAGGATGTGTAGCCACCAATACCTACCTGCCTTTGGTATAAACTCACACCCCAGGTGACAGATCCAGGCAGCTGTAAGTCTGTCAGGTAGGGACAGTGTCCGTGTAGGGTTCCTGTCAGCATCCATAGAAGAGAAAGAGCTGCTGTGAGCTATGTGAGTACAAGCAGCTGCTGGATTCTAACCTTATGCTCTTACGGAGAGGAAGGATGCAAAAAGAGAAAGCAAGAGAAAACCTCAGAAGCCATGTCTCCATCACTATGGTCTGAATCAGAGGGCTCAGCAACAGCCTCTTTTTGTTTCCATGATTGGCTTTAAGAGGTAAAAATCTCTCTGGAAAAAAAAGAGAAAAAAAGCCTCCTAGCTGTGCTGGGGTGTAGCTAGTGTCAGGTACCAAGTTGCACGTCTGTCTGCAGGGAGGGTGTCTGTACATTCCACCAGCATTCCTGCCCAGTTAACTCTTGCCCTTGTGTCCTGGCTGTCAGGATTGCTAAACTCTAGTGCTAAATAACCTAGAGTCAGGGTAACCTGGATTTGATTCTGGGTCCTGAGCCTTCTGGCAGCATGGCCTTGAGCAAATGAGTCTCTCCAGATTTATTCATTGTCAAGATGGAAGGAAACAAGTTGTCTGCCTAGATCCCTAAGGAGTGTGTATACCATGAAATCTCAACAACAGGGATGCTCAAAACAAAGACCTTCATGACAACATCAGCGAGACTGGGGAAATCTCACAAGGCCCTACCCCTAGATGAAGAACTATAGGCAGTTAATGGCTGCTGAGAGAGAGAACCCGTTTTCTCTGTGGGTCAGCCACCAGATAGGTCACCCAGTCCCAAGTGGTCAACCCTAAATACATGTTCATAGAAGTAACACTAACTGGGTTTAGTAGGAGTGTGTGTGTGTGTGTGTGTGTGTGTGTGTGTGTGTGTAATAATAATTACAGAAGAAATCATACATTTGGGAGGGAGTAAGTAAGCACAGGAGGAGTTGGAGAGAGAGGGAAGGCTTGAATGATTATAAGCATAGTACTCACACATGAAATTAGCAAAAATATACAACATTTAAAATGTTAAAAGGAATGAAGCCCAGCCAACAGATGAGACCAGTGATGTTCATTTAAGACTTCTGACCCCAAATTGTCAAATATTGTATTTGTAAGAGTGAGGAAATCTGTTACTATAGCAATAAGAAACAAGCGCAGATTTTTGGCAAAAATATCCATTTATTAGGTCTGTTGAGAAGATGGGGCCTGGTAAGTGACAGCTGCCATCTGTTTTGGTCACTTTGGAAAATGAGCATGGCTTTTTTAGAACAAAACAGAACAGCAACAACAAAAGACTTATGTTTAATTACGTGTGTGGGAATGGAGTGATGCATGAGTATGCAGGTGCCCTTGGAGGCCAGAAGAGGGCACTGGATCCCCTGGAGCTGGAGTTGCAGGCAGTTGTGGGCAGTCCAACCCACAGAGAGAGCTGAACTCGCTTAAGAGCAGTATTCACTGTTAACTGCTGACCCATCTCTCCAGCCCCAAGTCAAGCATGGCTCTCTGGGTTACTATTTGAAAAAGCTGGCAGAGCCAGCAAGCTCAGAACAGCTCGTCTACTGATGCTGTCCTTTCTCACGCCGCCAAACCCACAGGAGACTGCCACACCAGCCTTTTCCACCACACCACAGTCTAGGTTTCTCTGGTGTTTTTCCTGCCCAAACCAGTCGCTGACCTCCTCCTTCTCTTCTCCACTCTGGTCGGCATTTTCTCATCCTAATTCTGTCTCTTGGAATTCTCCTACGTGGTACTGGTTTGTTCTTTGCCTCTTTTCCCACCTGGTCTTAGTAACCACCCACTTGTAAAACTTGATCACAAAAGCATCTTTGGGAAAGCACAGTCAGGCACTGGGGCAGCATCCCTTGCTCCGGATCCCGTCATCTTCCTTCTGACCCAGTTAAGAGCCCTTGCTGAACATCTACCTGGTCCCTTCCTTTTTCTCTCTGCAGCCCTCACAACTTCCCCTTTTATTAGCACTGGATCCAGTTCATTTGCCAGTAAAAGTCATGTTGCTATAGTCCCACTTTAGATTCCCTGAAAGAAAAAAAGTCTCTTCTCTGTTCTTTGAGCCCACTACCAAGAGACTGCTACGTGACAAATGCTTACAGAGTCATGGCACTGCTGGCCAGTGACGCTGTTGAACTTGGCCTCTCCAGATATTTGCCCTTTACTCTGTTTCCATTATCTGAATTTCTGCCTTTCAAAGTAGGTTTATTTGTACGTCTGGTTTAGAGAGCGGCCCAGCTGGTCAGGATTAATGTCCATGCATGCCAATAATGAACTTTACAATGTAACTGATCCGGCTGTACTAGTTAGGTTCTTCCTGGTGGAGCCCTCTGATGCAGAAACATTACTGCAGGCAAACAAGTGCCATTTTTAAGCAGAAGCTCCACAGGGTGGGTGATGTCAGATGGTGTAACAAGGGCCCAGACTCTTCTGTTCCTTTGACAAACATTGACGGAGTGTGTGTGCCAAACCCTGAGCCAAAAACACTCAGACGCTTTTAACTCCTTAAATTTCCACAGGATAAAAAGAAATGGGAAAATAAGTAAGGATGTTTAAATTACTTAGGTTATTAATACATGCCTTATAGAACAACAGCAGAGTTAACATTTATCAAGGCCCGAGTCGCATGTAAGACTTGGGCTGAAGGAGATGGCCCAGCAGTTAAGAGCACCAATTGTCCTAAAAAGGCCTGAGTTCACTTCCCAGCACCCATATCAGGTGACTCACAATAGCCCGTAACTCCAGCTCCAGGGGATCGGAAGCAGCTGGTTTGTCTACACAGGCATCCACATACATAACATACACTCACACAGATGCACAAAAATATGTGGTTTTAGAAAGAAAGACAGGAAGGTGAGAAATAAAACAACAAAAGCAAGACATACCTCTCTACAGATCTTGTCCATAAACCAGGAGTTCAGGCAAGCTGGCTAACTTGCTATCTTGTCTTCACTTGACTCTTCTGAATCTACTCCCCCATCTTCCCCTCTCCTTGGAATGCCTACCGCCCACCTCACTTTCCTCCTACACATCGTACCTCTACTCTCCTGTTCCAAAGGCTGGCTCTATAATCAGTTGGCCTGGAGTCTTTTGTACCCAGATCCCATTCATGTGTTGAGACATCCATTTATGCATTATAACTACTTGAAAACTTAGCTTCTCTCCTAGCACAAAATCCTAGGATGTAACAATCTTCCTCATGCATCTTTACATACCCCAATATGCAAATTGTATCATTTAATACCTTTAGACTTAAGAGTGTCAGTTGCTTAAAGTGTCGAGGGATGGGAACAGCTTTTCTCAAAGCATCTCAAGTGCAGAAGCCAAAATGATTGACCCGAACACTTAACCTTGTGTTCCTTCCAGAGAATCCTCAAGGAGACAAGAGGTCCATGTTCAGTTGCATCTGGCATAAACGGTATAAATAGTTTCTAGGAGCTAGTGTAAGCAGCAGGGAGAAGTGTGTGCCTCAGAGTCACACAGACCACTGAATCTGTCATTGCTGGTCTATGTGGCCTCAGAGGTACGGCTTCACCAGCTAACTGGGATTATTCCTGATGTTCTTGTTGGGTTCTGGGAATCTGCTATGTATATGAAGTTCCTAGAAGTGTGCACTGCAGAGCTAAACCTCCCTTTGTCTCTGCAAGTCTCTCATATGACAAAGGACTTCATTATGTGCAACCTATATTTTTTTAGGATAACAAAATATTTAATGTCAACCCACAGGCCATAGTGACCTCAGCCAACTCTCTTCATTTCCCTGTGGTTACAGTTGGCTTTGTCCAAGGATGGCTGGGCCAATAGCAAGGACTCTCAGAGTGTGTCAGCCTGGTTATCACCATGATAGGCCCGCCCTCTGTGCCCCCGGTAATCTTGAAGGATCTCAGTACTCCTCTCAGAATGATGACTCAAGTGTCCTTCAGACGCTAAAGGACTCCTGAAAGGCACTAGTCAAACTCTGAAGGCCTTTAGTTTGTTCTTTATAAAACTTCCATCACTCTGACCTTGGGTATCAAATTTCCACCATTACTAAAAGCTCCCATGGCCTTGAGTTGGATGCAAAAAAAGAAACAGGTGATGTCATGATTTGATGACAGTGTAGAAACTGAAGCAGTATTTGCTACCTGCTCCCATCAAACTGTAACATCCTTAACTGTGTTCTTCAGCTTCCTGAAGATGGCCAAAGATGATTCCACTGTCCGTTGCTTCCAGGGCCTGCTGATTTTTGGACATGTGATTGTCGGTGTAAGTCGTGAATATTTTTCAAAAAATTGTGTTCTTCTTGTAAGCATGGTTTTTAGATTAACTAAAAGTAAAAGTTTAAGAAAATGGTATAGTTACTACTCCCCCTTTATACTGCCTTCATTTTAAGAAATGAGGTAGGGAATATACTAGCTAGAATCTTAAAACAGTCTTACATAATTACCTATTATGACAGAAGACCATGGTCAACTTTAAAATAGATACTTCCTTTTCAATTTTTAAGACATAATGACTATTTGGAGTCATGTTCAACATGGCCAGTGTCCAAACACACCTGCGAAAACTTTCCTTTATGCTTCTGTCCAGTTTCACCTTGGTTTGACTTGGAGACTGTGCTATTGAAGGTGCTGGGACAGATAGTCTTTTGTACCGAATGTGAAAGTGGCTCAGAGCTCAAGCTGTGTGGACTTGAGGATAAGGAAAGAACACTAGTCAGGGACTCAAGAGGGCTGGTTCTTGACTCAGTTCTGTTCTGCCTCTCTGGGTGTAGCTGTGGATGAGTCATCATCATTCAGAACCATGATTTCTCATCCATAGAATATGAGCATTGGGAGGACAATCACTAAGATTCCACAACCACTGTGACAATGGCCAGGACACTTCAAGTTTTACAAGAGAGGAAGAGTTGTATTGAGACAGGATAAGGAGATAACTTTCATCCAAGAAGGCACTGTCTGAGTGTATTATATCACAGGGGCACTAGTTAGTCTGAGATTACCTAAATCTTTTGCCAAATTGCAAACAGAGTTATATGTGGAAGAAAGGATCAAAGACAGAGGGTCTATGAAGAAGGAAGCAAATAGTTGTTGGATCTCCTGGCAATTATGAATCTGTTACATAAAACCTCTGTAAGGGAAAGGATTCGACTCTAGGATGTACTCTGCCCCACCCCCTTTCCCAGTGCTCTTCTCTTGGTCACCAGCCTGACAGATCCACTCGTGGCTTGTTTCCAGATGTGTGGCATTGCCCTGACTGCAGAGTGCATCTTCTTTGTATCCGACCAACACAGTCTCTACCCGCTGCTTGAAGCCACCAACAACGATGATATCTACGGGGCAGCTTGGATAGGCATGTTCGTGGGCATTTGCCTCTTCTGCCTGTCTGTTCTAGCCATACTAGGAATTTTGAAGTCCAACAGGAAAATCCTTTTGGCGGTAAGACCTTACACTGCTCTTTGAGCTGGAGGTGTAGCTCAGTTGACAGGAGGAAAGTCCCAGAGTGGGGGGTGGGCATTTTTGTTAGATTCCCCCTCATTGTAATATATAGTTTTAAGTATTGTTTTAATAATAGTCAGATATTAACGTGTTAAGGTACAAAATACAAAGTAAACATGAATTTTTCAAAGCAAACAAAAACCTCTCTGAAGACTTTTGAGTTCAAGGCCAGCGGTTTTAGTGTGCTAGCCTACATTTATTCCCACACTGTCATTGACTCTGCAGTACAGGAACCGTGGAAGACCCTGAACAGCACCATTGTCAATGACCTGTTCACACTGTTCTGTGTTCTCAAGCCACTGACTGGGTCATGCTCTGCCTTTGCAAATGGAAATGAACTGTTAGCCAGCCGGGAAGCAACTCTTCCTTGGGCCTAGACGTCCACCTTCTGCCCTTGTGTCCCAGACATCAGTTTATGCCATCTTGACCCCACACACATACACACCCACCCACACACCCCTCCCCATCCCTGAAGTAAATCTTCCCTGAGTCCCACTTCTACAGAAGAAGCTTAGCCACTTAGAGAGCTTGTTGGCTCACTTCTCTAAGGTAACCATTGCCCTAGTGCCTGGGAATGCAGAGTATTTACCTTCTCTGTTTCCTTTGGGTGAGTTAGTTCCAGGGCAAAGGCACCCACTCGGAGAGTGGGAAAAGGCATGGAGGGAGGAGGGAGAGAGGAGGGAGATCTTGGGACACCTTGCACTGCACCCTGGCCTCCTTCTGGGCTAGCTGTATGTGCCTGACAAAGCAGGAGAATTGAGCTGGGGAGGAGCCATGGAACAGAGACTTCTGTATGAAGCTGAAGGAAATGCCTGTACCAATGCCTCCTTTCTGGCCTGATTGTAGAGGACCCTGAAGTTCTATAAGAGGAGCCACCAGAGCTCTTGACAGGAAGCCAGGCAACAGCCAATATGGAGTTGGTTGTGGAGTCTATGATGTCTCAGAAGGCCCTTTTTACTCATTTTTTTCATGGAGGTGGTTGCTTTTGTTTTGTTTGGGGGCCAGATAGTGAAAGCAGTAAACAGTCTGACCTTTGAACCCACAAACACCCCCAAAAAGGGAAGACAACTTTTCCTGTCTTTCCCCCACCGGCTCCTATAGCCCTTCTTCACAAGAAGGACATTAGGGGCAACATTGCATATATAAAAATGTGCAAGGCAGAGATCAAGTTCTCACAAGGGTCTCACTGAAAGGCATCAGCTGTCCTGCTGTTTGCCCACCAGACACTGGGGGGGGGCTGTGCAGAGCTGTTCACCCACAGTGGTTTGCCACCTGTGCACAGCATGGGCAGTGCACGGAGAAGTCTGTTCTGCCCTCACCAGAGCTGGTATCACTAAGTCATGGGTTTGTGACAGGAGATCACCAGTGAGTCTCCATGCCTGAAGGCTGCCTGCTCGATACAGATGAGCCTGGGTAGAAGACACAGGGCATTATACGTGTTCTGTCACATTTTCCTGGCTTCTGGAGTTCTACATCTTCAGCAATCCATGAAGAAAACGACTCCCACTTAAAAGAGATTTACAACGCGTAGTGTCATGTATGAGGCACTAAGGCTGTCTTGCCAGCGGCCACTGGGCATGTGTGTGTACATGAAGACTCTGAAGCACTCAACACATTTCTTCATTGCTTATATTAGCTCCCCCAAGTTAAGATCGAAATTCATGATACTGGATGAGAAAGCTTTAAGTTGAATGGCCATTTCTCTAGAGATAAGCAGAGAACTGAGCTGACCCATATGTCACCATGTTCCAAGTACCTTTAGCACTAACCACATTCCAAGCAGCTGACCCAACAGAGTTAGTGCTTGGATATCACATTTACATGAATGCGCTTAAAACTCACATTGTGTAGGATTTCTGTTGTAATTCTCTGTTCTCATATGTTTCCTTCCTAGTACTTCATTATGATGTTTATAGTATATGGTTTTGAAGTGGCGTCTTGTATCACAGCGGCGACACAACGAGACTTTGTAAGTATAGTCCCCAAAGCACAGAGCAAAAATGACAATAGCACGGGCACTGTAGCAACTGACATGCTTTAAACACTTGCTGTGTGCTGGTCAAGCTAATATGCACACTATTAATACGAGAGCAATTTTACTTAATACTCAGAAACTTAGAATGGAAAGTACTGCTTCTTTCTAGGTTAAAAGAAAGAGGAAGTTCCTGGGGTGGGGGGACATTAAAAGCAAGGAAAGTTTGTAATGTGTAGTCTTCCCACCAACTGCTTGGGCCCTGCAGAGCTATCCGAGCCCCCAAGTAACACACAGGACACTATAATAATTATGAAGCTGTCAGCCATTTGCTTGGTTTCTTATTGGCTAGCTCCTGATTTGATTATTAACCCATAATTACTAATATATGTTTTATAAGAACTTATGTTTTTGAGGACACACTCCTGAGCACCTGTTGCTCCTGGGAGATCACATGGCGAGAGCTCTCCTCACTACAATTCCCAGAATCCTCCTAAACTCCTAGTCCCACCTATCTTGTTTCCCTATTGGCCAACAGTGCTTTACTCAGACCAATCAGACATGTTTACAGAATGACGTTCCCCAACAAGAGTTATCTAAAGATGAGCAACTGACAGGTGACAGCAAATCTTCTGATCCCAGCAAGCCTGGTTTCCAATGCCTAACCTGTGATACTAGCATTGCTCATCACTCAACCACACTATGGTCTTCCTGCATGTTCTGCCTCATGGAAGACACAATTCTGACTCTTTCTTGTTCCATTTCTCACTGTTTCCCTAATCTGTACCATCTTAAAACACCTGTCTATCCCAGTCATGCAATGGTTTCTTCGCCCCAGCCAAATGAGCTTGGTGACCAAGGTTAGCTTCCCTCTATGAGGATGTTCAGCTCTGCAGAAGACATTGCCTTTCTTGGAAGCAGGTGTGCTGACACTCCCTCATGTGTTGTCCCCACCCTGCAGTTCACAGCCAACCTCTTCCTGAAGCAGATGCTGGTGAGGTATCAAAACAACAGCCCCCCAACCAATGATGATGAATGGAAAAACAACGGTGTTACCAAGACCTGGGATAGGCTCATGCTCCAGGTGAGATGTGTGTTCCTGCGGTGATCCACGGCACATCTGAACCAGTAAGAACCTGAATGTGGGTGAGACTGAGGTCAGTGCCTCCAAGGGCATCCTTCAGGAAGAGACTTGTTCCTGGCTGGGTCAACAATGCCTCTTGTTTACTGGTGAGGGTGTGGAAGGGGGAATGAGAAACACTTGACTCAGTGAGGTCTCTGGATCCATACTTTATGTCAAGCTATAATGCTGATTAACCTGCCTTTATAGAGTGTATGCTAGAAACTTTAGATTAATAATGCGGAGGCTGGAGAAGAGAAATGGCTTAGTGGTTAAGAGCACTGGCTGCTCTTCCAGAGGACCCGGGCACCCTCATGGCAGCTCACAACTGTCTGTATCTCCTGTCCCAGCATTATCTTCCACCCTCACACAGACATATATGCAGGTAAAACACCAACGATCATAAATAGATTTTTTTAAAGATTAACAATGTGTTCTGCCTCTTACAAAGTTAGGTCTCCCTTACATTAACAGATAAAGGGGACTTCTCTCCCCCACAGCAAGCTCAAATAGTGGTATGTGTCTGTCCCAGCTTTTTTAGCTCCTATGAAGAATTCTGCTAAGTGTCAGGAGATTTGATTTAATCACAGTTTTAAGTGCACATCATTCCATACATCCAAACCTTTTCCAAATACTATCAGAACCCCTAGTCTTCCAGAATATTGCCCCATTTTCTCTTTCTCTCTCTCTCTCTCTCTCTCTCTCTCTCTCTCTCTCTCTCTCTCTGTCACACACACACACACTTATACACACACTTACACATATACCAACCTTTCTACTTCTTTCAACTCTCCCTTGAAACCCCTGCTTCACTAGAAACCTGGCTACCTCCTAGTTTCCCCTACCTGTCCTCTTATGCTCATGTGCCCTAAGATCTAGAAATTGGCTAGGTTTCCCCTTTCTCTGCATGGCTTCTCTATTCTCCCTTTCCTCGGTTCCTTCCTTGTTCAAACACTTGAAGTTCGTGCCATTGAACTGTGGTTTCTTTATTGTGGCTTTTTACCAATCACCTTCCAGTCATTGCCCAGCTTTCACTGGGGTTGAGTCTCACCATTATATCCTCCTCATTCATGTTCTAAGCATCCTGCCTTGGATGAGGATTCGAAAGCCACATGGGGACTTAGACAACAACTGCTCTCTCGATTCCTTGTCTTCTGCATCCCACAGATCTCCTCCCCTCATCTCAGACACCTTCTTCCATGGCCACAGCCAGCATGTCGCCACCAACAACTATGCCACCCACCTTCTGAAAACCTTCTATAATTTCCTTTATTTGCTCTAATATCCTCATTTCATCATTTTATTCCATTAGAATAAATTATTTATTCATCTAGTTTAATTCTCTAGTTAATTGTCTGTGTTTTCCTTTCCTGTCACCCTTCATGCTCTCTTCCTGCCATCACTCTCTTTGGTCCTCTCCTTTACTCCATTGTGTGTCTGTTTTCACTAGTCTTCCCTACCCAGCCCCTATGGAAGTGAATACAGTTGTTTGTCCACTCCTCACCTAAGGGCTGGATACTACTGAGGAAAGCCCCCCCTTGTGCTAATTTAAATGTATGACTATGAAGCTCAAAAGGGCATTCTCTCTTTCCATATGTATGCTTTGTTACTACTGTATACATTTTCCTTTCCCCTCTGCCAAATTCCTCAGCAATGGCTGCTCCTCACGCCTTAAGAATACAGAAGCAAACGTATGGAATTCATCTCACTTTGTTCTTCCACTGTCTGCAGCGAAGCCTCTTCACTAGTGACAGACTGCCCCACACCCAAGTGGCTCCCATCCGAGGTCCTCTGCCTTTCTTCAGGCTACTCGGCTCTGACTCACCAGTTCTCTCTAACGTCAGCCTACAAGAACATCTTCAAGAGCTCTTGTCCAAAGTTCAGCCATTATTCTGCTCCACTTCTGTTCTGTTTCGTGGCAAATGACAGAAGAGAAACCTCTACCTGATGTTTCCATTTTCACACTTTTCAGCTGCTTTTATCCAACTACAATTGACTTCTTACAGGACATAACCCACAGTAACAAGTTCCTTCCATTCTACCTACCTCAGTGGCCATGTTACTATCCTTATTTTTACATCCGTCACCTTGAAGACCCCTTCTTAGCCTCCTTTATTGAATTTTCACCCCTTTCCCAACTCAGTGTTAGAGTGAAATGAAGCTCAGTTCTGGAGCCTTAACTCTTTCTGTCTACTCTTACTTCCTCATCTGAAATAAAGCTGTTCAAATGCCACTTATTTCCCCAAGAATGCACAACACAAAACACAGAATGGAGGGCTGGAGAGAAAGAACACAGAATGAGAGTTAGAGAGATAGAACACAGGATAAGGGTGAGAGATATAAACACAGGACGAGGGTTAGAGATATAAACACAGGACGAGGGTTAGAGAGATAGAACACAGGATGAGGGTGAGAGAGATAGAACACAGGATGAGAGTGAGAGATATAAACACAGAACAAGGGTTAGAGATGGACACAGATGAGGGTGAGAGATGACACAGAATCAGGGTGACAGAGATGGCACAATATGAGGGGCTGGAGAGATGGCTCTGTCAATCAAACATGTGCTGCACAAGCTGAGGTCCCCAGCACCTATATCAAAAGCTGGATGTGGTGATGTGTGTCTGTGATGCCAGCGCTGAAGAGGCAGAGACAGGAGTCCTGAAGCTCACTGATAAGCTCCAGGTTCAGTGACAGACCTTGCCTCAGGGAACACTGTGGAGAGATTGGCAAAGACACCTGATGTCAAGCTCTGGTCTCCACATGCACTCATACACACACATGCATGCACACATTTATACACACACCACACACACACACACACACACACACCATAGAATGATTCTTTTTCCTGGTTAACTATTTCCTATATATAAATGGCAAAATTTCACGCTAATTTATTCTAAAAGTTGGGGGAGGCCTGTAATTTTTACTTCCTTCCTGACACATTTTAGCAGAATTTATGATAAGGAAAGGGCACAATATGGATTTAACAGCCTCTATCTCCAGTGTGTTCAGAGTTACCAGAGCAATGGATGTGTGTCTACTGAACCCCCTTTCTTATTTAGAGGGACAGTAGTGTGCCACCAGGTCTGAAATATTTTTCCAGTTTACTTTCCTCTTTATAAAACAAGTACACCAACAGGAGTTGGTGGCGCACACTTTTAATCCCAGCACTCAGGAGGCAGAGACAGGTGGATCTCTGTGAGTTTGAGGCCAGCCTGGTCTACAGAGTGAGAACCAAGACAACCCAGGACAGTCAAGGCTATGCAAAGAAACCCTGTCTCAAAAAAATGAAATAAACAAAACTAATGCATAATTACTCTAGTAAAATGTTACAAATAAAAATAATTGCTAATAATTTCTTTACTACTAAAACTTTTCATTTTATGATTTTTAAATGATTATACATCTCTTGTGTTAATGTATCTTGCTACAAATATTAATAATAATAAGAGTTTACTATGAGCTAGGTGCTGTACCAAGTACATTAATTATATTAACACACTTGGCCCTCACAAAAATTCTATAAGGTAGGTTCTGCATTTATTTCAAATTTATTGTCAAATTATATAAGCCTTAGGGTAGTGGTTCTCAACCTTCCTAATGCTGCAACTCTTCAATACAGTTCCTCATGCTGTAGTGACCCCCAACTATAAAATTATTTCATTGCTACTTCATAACTGTAATTTTGCTACTGTTATGAATCATAATGTAAATATGCGACCCCTGTGAAAGAGCCAGTTCACCTTCAAGGGGTCATGACCCACAGGTTGAGAACCACTGCTCTAGAAACTTACAGTACTATGCCCATTAATGGTTGGTAAAATAATAAACATAAAAACATTTTGGAAACTTAGGATGACCTTGAGCTTCTGTTCAGAAATAATTTAATAATGTAAGATATGGTATGTTTTCTAGTACCTTCTCAGTGTCACCTGCTTGTGGCATTGATGACTTTGGTATGGGCCATAAAGATAACATGTGTCTCTTATCCTGTGGCAGGACCATTGCTGTGGTGTAAATGGCCCATCAGACTGGCAGAAATACACCTCTGCCTTCCGGATGCAGAATAACGATGCTGACTATCCCTGGCCTCGGCAGTGCTGTGTCATGAACAAGCTTAAAGAACCTCTCAACCTGGATGCTTGCAAGCTTGGAGTGCCTGGTTATTACCATAGTCAGGTGAGTCCCCTCCCCTCGGAAGACCTAACAGAAAGTGCACCTGTTCTTTATGAAGAAAATGATAGTCAGCTGTGAGTACTGTGGTAAGGGAGTCTACACATTTCTCCTGTACCTCATGTTACTATCGCCTCTGTGAGTGCTCGCTTAGAATTGCTGCAATTTTAATTTTAGTAAAATTACTGCAACATGAGGATTTCTGTAGTACAAGCCAACTTGGTGACCATGAATACAATCTGTGTAATGTTTAGAACTGATTTTTCTGAGAAATATTTGCATTAGGCAAAGGCTGGCAAAATGTAAATTGGAAATGTTGCTATACAAAGAAAATAGTAGTCAGTTCCAAAGCAATGGCAACTGCTGAGGTCAGAGGTGATGAAGGGCAGTTTTTAGCAGGAGTAGATTAGTGATTTGGGATGAAATGGCTTACATACATATGGGTTTTATCAAAGTGCTTCTGCGCGGGTGAAAGTGAGCTGCTGGTGAGCACAAAACACTTACTGAGGTCTTCCTGAATGCCAGATGTTGTGTCGTGTGCCACACAGAGACTACAGTGCCTGGAGTCAGAAGTTGGTGCTGACTGTGCTTTATTGTCTACACATGAGCGAGAGATGCTAATCAGACCTCGCCCAACCTCACACAATTAGTAAATGACTGTCAGGCTTCAACTCCAAGCCACAGAGCTTGAAAGCACAGAAACCATGTCAATAAAGGCTTGGAAGTAGTTCCCCAAAGTGTTGGTCAGCTCTCTCAGACCCTGTAACCAGCCTCAGCTGACACAGCACATTGAAGCCCTCTGCTGTGCTTTGGAAGTAGTCACTGTGAAGAAGCCCAGCAGCATGTCAGTCTGTCAAATAATTGAGAAGCATCAGGCTTTTTCCTACAGAAGTAAATGCCACAAACCATACATTTGGAGTGAGGGACACCACTGTTACACCTGGCAGGGTACCTGGACTACAATTGGAGGCATTAACTCAAAAAGGACATGGGAGAGATACGGATGACTTGGTAGCAGTGTCCAGAGCAATCCTCACTGAGCTTTATAGCAACCTTGTTATGGCATTGTTTTAGTTAGTTATATTCGGGCTATAATAGAAATTAAATTCATTCTTATAATCATTATAAAATTCAGCTATCACTCAAACTGCTCATAAAATGTTTTCAGCATGTCCACAGTAGAAGTGGCTCATGCAAACCAGTCTTTACTGAATTATAATCATGGGCAAACAGTGTCATCTTTCTGAAATGGACAAAAAAGGGCATCCACCTTCCACTTACTGCATAGCCTTGTCTTCCCCCGTACAATACATAACACTCCAGCTATGGAAATCTACTAAAACCACTTACTCAAGCTTAGATAGATGAGTTTGAAGGGGAAACACAAATTAACTCTTTTCCTTTCGATGCTTTGGGACATCCATCTTGGCACCTTCCTTTGACCTTATCTGACTTCGGTGTCTCCATCTCCATTGCCAGCCAGCTGAACCACAAGCATCAACCGTCACTACTTAACCCCACTCTTCAACCAAGTTCCCAAGTTCTGACATTTCCTCCTCTGTTCCTTTGTCCCTTTGCCCCCCCCCCCAATCTCACTCATTCTTTACCCTGAACATAAGCAGATCTATCAGTCTGACTCTCCCTATCTTCATCCTCCAGATTCCCACACATCCCCACTTTCTGACACACAGGGGCTGCTAATTCCACACCAGAAATTCTTTGCTATACAAGAAAACAACCCTCCCACTACCTACCATACTTTGCTGTTGCTTTTGCATTTACCTTGTCCGTAAATTTCTGTGAGCTACCTTAAGGACTGTACCACTTAGCTCTGTGTCTTCAGCACTTGGCATAATGCTTGGTACAAGGCAGATGCTCAATAAGAGCTTGGTGGGTAGATAAATGAATGAAGGAGTGGATGACTCCCCCCTTTCAAAACCATATTGAAGCTGTTCAACACTTACAATGCACCAAGGTGTTGCTGCAGCTATAAAAACTAACAAAACTAGGAACGTCAGCCTAACTATAATAAGTAATGAGGGACATCAACCAGAATTCCACATAGCAGGTCAAACACACACACACACACACACACACACACACACACACACACACACAGAGAGAGAGGGGGGGGTTCATCGGCTTTGAAAATGCTACGTGCAAATCCTAATGACTTTATCTCAAGAATATGAATATATACTCAGAGAGTAAAGTCCCAATAAAATTATTTGCATCCTAGAAACTCACTAATGAAAGGAAAAACTAGGGATTTTGACTTTGAGTCCCACAAAGACAAGAGTCCTTTCTAGCTTGCCCCAGCTACGTGCCCAACTAAGGACCCAGCACCTGGTATAAATTGGCTCTTACAATAGTATTAGATTAATGATTACCTCCCAAGATATTCAAAAGCATGTTCTGTTTTCCAAGTAGAAATTGTAATCACTACTTAATATCCTTCATTAAGTCTGTTTTTTCTTTGTTCTTTTGGTCATTCATTCATTTGTTTAAGATAGGATGTCATTCTGTAGCTCAAGCTTGCTTTGAACTCTTTATGTAGCCCTGAATGGCCTTAAACTCATTATTATGTAATTAAGACTGGTCTTGAATTTATAATCTTCTTGCTTAAGCTTCCTGAATGCTGAGATTACAAACTCTTGTTCTGTAAATTATTATTAGGTACCTACCAGATTCCAGACACTCATTCTAGATTCTGGAATTCAACAATTAGCATAATAAAAACATCTGCCCTTTTGGCTGTTGCAATCTATTCTAGATGACAAATAAGGAACACACTGCACACAGATAGACAAATTCCATGTAGTGGTAGTGCTAGGAGTGGACATAGGCAGGCTTTGTAAATGGCATAGGATAAAAGAAGGCTGCCTCTTCCATGGCTGCCCAGAAAGCCTTTGCTGAGATGTTATCTGCAGAGTTCTGAATTAAGTGAGGAGATGGGGGAACTGGAGTGTTAGGGAACACTTCTAAGCAAAGAAGCAGCCCATGCAAATACTAGAGCATTGTTAGCATTGTTAACTCATCAAGGAGACAAGCCTGACAAAGCCAGAATGTTTGTGAGATGCCTAGAAGGGATGGGTAAATGTAAATCTAGTGAGTGGACTCAGATGTGCCGGGTCCTGTCCCCTGGTTATCTGAATCAGTACCACGGGAGGAGGCCCGTGCGTGTTTCGGGAGATGGGTTTACCCCTCAAGTAGGCCCTGGAGGAGCCAGAGTGGTACAAGGAAACACTCAGGAGTGTTTGCATTTGTAATACTTTTAAATAGACCCTAAAGGATTTGCTTAAGTGTTGAACATTGGATAAAGAAATTAAGGAAAATTCCAGGAGGTTTCATTTGGGCATCCCGTAATGTATAGAGTAAGTGAGAAAACTATCGAAGTACAGGGGTGGAAAACAACATGTGTGTGGCTTAAGAAGGGGAGGACACCAATCACGGGAGACAGAAGAGCATCAAGTGCACACCTGTAGCCCCTGGGTGGAGCCTAAACCTCCTGGCCAACCTAGGATATAGGATAGCTGGTGGAATCTGGGAACAAATCTAGCATGCTTGCCTCTGAACCTTTTGGTGCACAGAATCTGCCTGGCTTCTGCATTTCCTGGATGTTCCCTGTGATCCCTAAGGTTATGGTAGACTCCCTCCGATGGGAAGTCTAGCATTGTGTGCTTAACTATTACTCCGACAGCATCAGTTCTTATCTCTGCTCTGGGCTCTCCACATTAATGTAGCTCATGCCATCTTCCCAGGGCTGCTATGAACTGATCTCGGCACCAATGGATCGGCATGCCTGGGGAGTTGCCTGGTTTGGATTTGCCATCCTCTGCTGGACTGTGAGTACCCTTGGCACATGTTTTAGTTCAGAGAGGAGCAATAATGAGAGACCTTGAGAAGGATCCTGGTTATTTCAACTACCCTAAAAAGCCTGGAAACCAAATCTTGCAGTCAAGGTAGTCAGGAGACTTCTAGCATCAGACGAAGGATGATGAGCTCCCTTGAGGTGTGGGATGTCAACCTCCCTACTAGGGAAAGGATGTGACTACTATACACCCTTCTTCTGGATGCCCCAGATGAATCCACCTAGTCTCCCTGGTGAACTCCAGCTGTGCCACACACTGAAGTAATTCATTGCAACTAGACTTCAAGGCCCATTCAGTTACCTCTCTGGACAGCTCCTGCAGCCCAACATTAGTTGCCTAGCTCCTTCAATGGTCTCATCACTTGCTGCTGCCTTTCTGTGAGGCACACACAGTGAGCTCCAGCTCCCAGCCCTGGCTGCACATTGAAACCTTCTAGACAGGCAGAGCCTGTATGTATCACTCTGTAGGCTGTTCAGCTGATCCTATGGTTAGGCTGGGCACTTTGTTTTACTTTGATTGTGTTTGTGCTTTGATTTGGCAATTTTTCTAGATGATTCTAAAGTTCCCTCACAGCTGAGAACCATGATATTAGGGAAACAATCCCAAAGTTTGATACTGGTTACTCTTGAACACCTTGAAATATGTTAAGGATTCAAAAAAATTATTTTTCTGTGTGGCCAGTGTCTATTGACATTTACTTCCTCTAAGAATAGTTACTGAAAAATTAAATATTTATTAATTTGTTTTAAAATAGGACACTAAGCCATTACAATATAATCCTGAAAGGAAAAGAATAACTATTTTACAAAATGAAAAACTCATGAAGTATTATTGCTTTGCATATTCCTCCAATCCTGTCGAAGTCCGGCTTCATAAAAGCTGGGTTTCTCATATGTCTTCCTTCATTCACTCTGTGCTAACATGTCACCAGTGTTGAAGGACTGGAAGAAAGTAGGTCCTCCATAACAGTGTGGTTAAAAAAGGAATATTTGCTGAAAGAGAATATCATGAATATTCCTTTGAAACTATGTGCCCATCTCTGTAAGCTTCTTCAAGATCAACTGCAATATGGGGTCTGAAACTAGATTAATGAAGAACTTTTGTGCTATTTGCATAAATCTTCGTTCTATACCTAAGCCTATAATATCTCAAACTGGCTGTTTGGGGAAATGCTGCCTCATTATGTTTCCTAACACTTGCAGGCGTTTGTTGATTTCTATATGTGACAACAAAAGGTCATATTTATTAATTCTGTCACACTGGAAAAGATCTCAGATAGCATACTATCAAACTCATGGCAATGTATCAGTTTTCCAGAGATCTGATTTTTGCCTGAAAACTCAAATTTATTATTGGCACCATACATGGTCAAGTGTTTTCTATGAGGTAACAGATCAATTCAGTAAATTTTGAAGAAAATATCTGCCCAAATATCCAAACTTAAATAAGTGTAGTTACTTTTCTTAACTTTTTTTCAAATAAAAATGGTGTTTCAAGAAAAAATAGGTCAGTGCATAGCCAATTACATATGTGTTTTTCTTTTGCACAACTGTATTTCAATATTTCATGGGATAGGATATATTGTTTATCATATGGAGTATTAAAAAGAAAGGTCAAAGTACAATACTATTAGCAGCTTTGGCCGCTCCATGGAGGATGATCAGAGATAAAACTTCCTGCTTCTTCCTTTTCTCCACAAGTGCACAGCAGTGCAGAACACCATGAGAACTAACGCAGTTCAGTGACTCTGCCTCGACTCTCCCCCAGACTTAGCAGTCTTACCTTATGCTGATTTTGCACCACCAGTGCCCATGGAAAAGACACTGAACAGACAAATGAAGTCCTTTTCCTTAAATATTCTTGACCTCATTGGCCCCCGAAAGGTGTCTGTGTATTCCGCTTTGAAAAGTGCTGAGTGGGAGGGTATAAAACGAGGGAGAAGAGAGAAAGCTGTTCCTTCAGGAAGTGTTTTATGATCACTCTCAGGAGTTCATCACTGTTGTGAACCGAGGTCCCTATGACATGTCTGATGCTGCTAGAGGCAGAGGGCCGGCTCTTCTGTGTTCCCCAGTACCCAGCATAACACAGAGTAAAGGCTCAGTAAGCTATTCAATCAATTTAAATGACAACAGAGGAGTGTCCATTTGTGCTGTGCTACCAGGAACTATAGGGCATCTAAAGGATTTGAGGATCCTAGGGTTACCAAGTAACTATACACAAGTATCAAATTCTAAATTATAGATAGTGTAAAACTCCTGTAACTCAGTAGAGGGGGGATAAGAACCAGAGATGTTGAGGTCTGCTGTGGATGAGACACCATGTCCGATGGTCTTCATATGAAAGCCCCTCGAGAGCAGTAGTAGGGTGCCCAACAAGGAGCCATACTTGAGAAGAACTCCTGGGCATAGCCAGTTCACTTCTGTTCACAAAGGGCTCCCCTGTTCTCAACCTGTGGGTCATGACCCTTTTGTAGGTCATGTATCAGATATCCTGCATATCAGATATCTACATTATGATTCATAACAGAGAAAAATACAAGAATATGAAGTAGCAACAAAATAATGTTGTGGTTGGGGGAAACACCACAGTATGAGGAACTGTATTAAAGGGTCGAATCGTTAGGAAGGTTGGAAACCACTGCTCTAGAGCCTGTTGGGTTCTGTGTCTTTGGGTTAGTTACTTCCCTGTGCTTCAAATTCTTCAGAGAATTTTTAAAACAATTGTGTCTGATGCATACAGTCATAATAAACATTAGGTCCAGTTATTATTTTATTGTCTCCCTCACAGCTCTAGATCTGAGGTAGAGTGGGAAGGTATGAAGTTTATTTTACACAGAGACTGGAGCTCAGGAAAGTACAACGGCATGGCTAGATCCCGGGGAGTGGATGGCAGATCTGGGGCAGCCCAAATATTCCAACTCCACACCTGAGTAGAGGTATTCTTCAGGAACAGTCACTCACGGGGGCAGGCATTTTAGGAGGAATGGTTTCAAGATAGAAGGAAAAAGTGACCCAAATGGCTGGAGGTCTAGTTCAGTTTGTGGAGCACCTCCCTAGCACGCCCAAAACCCCAAATTATATCCCAGCACTAAATAAACCAAGTATGGTTGCCATGCCTATAATGCCATTACTTGGAAATTAGAAGCAGAGAAGTCAAAAGTTCGAAGTCATCCTCAGTTACGTAGCAAGTTCAGGGAAAGCCTAGGCTACATAAGATCCCATTGCAAAAATAAACAAATAAATAAAAGTCAGAAAGATAAATCATCTATGCAGTTTCTAACTAGAAACAGGAACACAGGAGAGTATTTAGCTTTGGTAACAGGAAGGAAGAATTTTTCCAAGGCTATGTCAGTACAGAATTGAAAAGAGCATTTGAGAAGTCAGAGACAACTCAAGAAGTGGTGGGCATGTGAGGGAGGGAGAAATTGCTGAGTGACAGATTATAAGCAATGCTCCTACGTGGGATGGACACAGCAACAGCTGGCCCTTAAGATTACTGTCACCTAAAGTATTGCTAAAACTCCTTGTCACCTAAGTCTGAACAAAGGAATTGTCGTTTTATATTAAGGTAGATGTTTTAAAATCCTGTCTTAATCATTCATTTTCCTTTTTCCCATTTTAATTCTAGTTTTGGGTTCTCTTGGGTACCATGTTCTACTGGAGCAGAATTGAATATTAAGCACACAGTGTCCCCGCCATACCTCTTTCCTCGGATGACTCTGGATTTGGTGCTGGAACCTGCTGTTTCGTCACATGCCTTCTGTGTGCTCCACAATGACATGCTTTTCTCACTCAAATGCCAGCTCAGGTAGAAGGGGCTTCCTTTCGGCTCTCGGGTTGTGCAGTCCTCAGTGGAAATAGTTCCCATCCTTGTCTAACACTCTGCAACATATTTATACACTATGAGACAGAAATTTTGGAGAATGGAGATGACTCTAACTCTGTTTATGTTTAATGTGGGTGCACAATGACATTCAAAGGAACCTGCCTCACCATTGTAAGCTGTATTGAATAGCATTAGAGAAGGAAGCCCATATCTCTTACTATTTATTCAACCTTGTAAGGCTTTCATGTCACTGTAAAGACTGGGTGAGAGAGAGGAGAGGAGATTACAGAGTTGTGCCTCTATCTCTGGTTCTGCTATAGCTTCTGTCCACACTAGTGGTGGTTATGGCATAGCCACCACCTTTGGGACAATCCTTCATTTTCATGGAATAAGTATACAGACTTCCTCTCTTGCCCTGTAGAGTGACATGCACTTAGCAACTTCATTCTCAGTTCATTGAAAGTGTGTAATCTTTAGGGACATTGGCACTGCCCATTTTACATCAGCTCAGTCTTTGCCCTCAAAGGTTTCTACGTGGAGATCCAAGCCAGCTATTAGAACTAGTGATTTATAGGGAGTTTTGTTTGCTGTCAAAATAGTTTGGTCCTGAAGGAAGTCCGAACAACTCACCATTGTTTGCTTGCCTATAAATAAAGAAGCCCATAAAACATGCACGTTCATTTTGTTTGATTTCAACTGGTCCTGCTTGAGTCTAACAAAATGGGGTTTCCAAAGTAAGAGCCCCAACTGTGGCGGTTAAAGTGAAAGAAGTGGGGACACACACCTGTGGGTTCCTGCTGGCTGGTGCATTGTCTACGTGGACAGGAAATTGCTGGAATTTTCTCATTTTTTCTTTTCCCTCTTGCTACATTGACCTTTGAAGCTATTGCTCCTCTATGCTAGGAGGCAACATATGTGATGATAACAGCCTGTGTTCCTTATGTAGAAAACACACCCATCACTTAGGAACAGTCAACCCAGGCACTGGAGGTCCTGCCTTACCAGCTCCCTGTGGTTATGCAGAACACTGTGGCAGAGGAACAGTCAGAAAAGATGAGTGGACTCCCTTGCAGCAGAAGCCTGCCTTCTCTGATCCCCAGCACAGCTTGCTGCCAACCCTCTACCTGACTTTGTCTCTCTGAAAAAGGCATCTTGGGTGCTAGGATAGCACCTGCACTTCGCACAGAAGATCCTCTGTGTTTCTTAAATGTGGAATTAAACTTTCTCCCTATCTTTCCTGTCTGATGGTGTGTGTGTGTGTGTGTGTGTGTGTGTGTGTGTGTGTGTGTGTGTGTGTATGTAGTGCTGGGGACTGAACCATACAATCAGGCGGCCAGAGCTTAATGATAAGGCTAACCAGACAGCATGACCTTTCTGTGTTGCAGTCAATAAAACTTGCCCCAGACTTGTTTGGGGTTTGGTAATAATTGGTGGACAGGCCTAATTATCCTGTGGCAGCACTGTCTTTCTTTAAGACAGTGGTTCTCAACCTGTGGGTCACAAACCCTACAGGAGTCATATCAGATATCCTGCATATTAAATATTTACATTATGATTCATAACAGTGGCAAAATTACAGCTATGAAGTAGCAAAGAAATTATTTTATGCTTGGGGGGGGCACCTCACCATGAGGAACCTTATTAAAGGTTTGTAGCACTAGGAAGGTGGAGAACTATGGCTTAACAAGGCCACACCCACTCCAACAAAGTCACACCTACTCTGTGCATGCTAGGCAAGCAAGCACTCTGCCCACTAAGCGGTATCCCTACCTCCTGGTGTCTTTTGCTTTCCACCCTTAACTAGGTTTCCCAGTGGGCTCCGCTAGATGAGTGATTATTGCCCAACCCTATCTCTGCCTTCCCACTCAGAGATTTCAGCTCCAAAATGCTGTCTGTTATAAATCCATCATCTCCTTGTGACTGGATCTCAGCTTCAAAAGCATTGTGTAGAAAGTTCCAGCTCAATTACCCACAGGAAAAGGCGTTGTTCCTCTCCAAACCAAGGAAGGATGGTGAGCCCAGTCACTCAAGTGGCTAAGGGCAGTGCATAAGAGGTACAAGCTTTAGTCTCCCTCTGCAGCTTTGTGACATTTTCAGGCCTGCACTGTGACTCCCGTGACTCCTCCCTTCAAGTCACCCAGCAGTTCCTTCACTGCTGCTTCTCACTTCTGCCCCCACGACTTTCCCTGGTGCCTCTGGCTTCTCTCTCCTCTTCAAGCTCCTGGGGCTGGAAAAGGGGTGGTAAGCCTCAGGCCTCAGGCCCCAGCTCAGCAGGGTCCAGGCTCAGCCCTTCCAAACCAGGAAAAGGAGACCAGAGGACTTGGCTCTGGGGAGAAGGAAGGTTTCTGTCCTTGAGAGCCACCCAGACATGCCATCTGTGAAACCTTCCTTTTCTCAGTCATTAGCCTGTCCACCAATTATCACCAAACCCCAAACAAGTCTGGGGCAAGTTTTATTAACTGCAACACAGAAAGGTCATCCTGTCTGGTTGGCCTTATCATTAAGCTCTGGCAGCCTGATTGCATTAACTTCAAAGCAGACTGCTTGATTTGTCAGCCCTGGAACCAGAATCAAGAATCTATTTCTGTTTGAACAGAACAGATGCTCTCCAGCTATTCATAAGCAGTATATAAACTTGAAAACCTACTGCCTTGTCTAGCCCCACCCCTACCTGTCTGATTGACAAGCAGGGCTGTGGTAGGAGGACTAGAAACTAACCACTAATGGGCTTCCTGCTATAAAGGATTGCTCTCCATCTGAATCTCCTTTCTCCTTCCTGCTTCACCTCCCTTGGCTTCTTATCCATTCCCGGAGACTAAGGCTAGGGAACATCCAGCAACCACCAGATAAGCAGTTGAGTCTGTTTTCATGCATGTTTAACTGGAGGCTCAAGTGGTCAGATAAAGATAGCCAGAAAAGTCTTTAACTCAGAACAGGGTTAGCATAGCCATGCGGGTTCTTTGAAAGCAGTGGACCCTTCTTGCTCTTGAGGACCTTAACTGGGAGTGAGTGCTGTGGTCAGTACTGTGGTAGTTTGTATAGGAGTGGTTCCCATAGGCTCAAATGTTTGAATGCTTGGTTATTAGGGAGTAGTGCTGCTTGAGAGAGATCAGAATGTGTGACCTTAGTGAAGTGGGTGTGGCCTTGTTGGAGTGAGTGTGGCCTTGTTAAGCCATGGTTCTCCACCTTCCTAGTGCTAAAAATCTTTAATAAGGTTCCTCATGGTGAGGTGCCCCCCCAAGCATAAAATAATTTCTTTGCTACGTCATAGCTGTAATTTTGCCACTGTTATGAATCATAATGTAAATATTTAATATGCAGGATATCTGATATGACTCCTGTAGGGGTTGTGACCCACAGGTTGAGAGCCACTGTCTTAGAGAAAGACAGTGCTGCCAACATGTGAGAGATGTGCTCACCCAGCCTTCCTCCAGTCCACAGCCCACATGCCTAGCAGTCAGGTACATGCACATTCGTACGCACACATGCCTAAGTGATAACTAGAAAGTAACCAAAGGGTGTGATTCGGTAGTACAGCATTTCCTAGCATGTGTGAGGTTCAGTACCATTAAAAATAAAGCAAAAATAGAGAGACGAGTGGTGGCTGAGTGATTCAGAGAGCTTGCTGCTCTTACCAAAGACTCATGGTTGGTTCTCAGCATCCACATCAGGGGCTCACAACTGATTGTGCTTCCAGTTCCAAGGGATCTGACACTCTCTTCTGGCCTCTACAGTCACACACACACACACACACACACACACACACACACACACACACAGAGTTTTTTTAAGAGACAGAAATTGACACAGAATAAGCATTCAGTTGTGTTCTACCCTTCACTGACTTTTCTAAGCTCCTAAACTACAAACTTAGACACATGCACACTCAAGGCTGAAGACATACTTGAATTTTCAACAGTTGTCAATAGTCCCTTTGCCTATTTAGATGTGTTCCTGGAGGTGGGACTTCTGAGTCACTCGCATGAGTGCATTTTGGAGACCTGTCTTTCTCAGCAGACACCAGTGATCCCTATACTATAAATGATGAAAGTGCAACAGTTTAAAGTATCTTGGCAAATGAGAACTTGATTATTTTCTATGTTACAGCATATATTGACGGCTCTTGGTAGGAATTGTGCTTCTATCAGACCTGGGAGAAAGTGGAAATCATGAGTCTAGCAAAAAACGTCTTTCATCTCCTTCAGGAATCCATTCATGGAAAATGTGGGCACCTCCAAGAAACAGATCCAACTGGGGTATAGGAAGAAGTGTGCGTGATGGTTAAGGGCCAAATAAAGGGGTGGAGAGCAGATGAACACTTGAAAGTCATTGTGGGTGTCCAGAAGATACCAAACTCTGCAGTAGTCATAACAGGGATATGGATTCAGGAAAGTTACCCTCAAAGAATGAAGCCCCAATGAAGACAACACAGAATAAACGATCAGATGACTTGAGTTTGGGCTTGACTCAGTCTTGCTCAACTGTGAGATTTCTAGCAATTGCCCATCTGTTCTGGGTCTCTACCCCTTCGCTTAGCCCTGTAATCTCAGGAGATTGTATAAAAACATTACCCCTGTAGGAACCACAAGATTCAGTGCCAGTTCAAGAGATTTTTAAAAAGGGAATTAAAAACTGTGCAGCAACCACTTATGACCACAGGAAGTTTCAATGCCCAAACAGCCAGCACTCATAGTTCTTGGCAACCATGGGTAGGCATATCTACCTTTAACATTCAAAATGTGTGATGCTATGGACTGAGTGTGACCAAATACATATGCAGGCATGGGTAGACCATAGCAATTAACAAGTAGGTACCCAAGAGCTCCAGCCCCTCACTGGGCTTTGAACTAACTGCATGAGCCAAATGGCATAAGGGTGACATGAAGGTTACCTTCACCTCAAGAAATATTATAACAAGTTATGCATTGTAAGTTTTCCTGGTTGAAAGAATTAGCTGAAGAAAAGTCAGAGGCATATTTCAATGGTTCCCAACATTTTGTTAATTCAGATGCCTATGACTAACAACAAAAGGCAGGGGGTTTCTATACAACATTCACTATATGCTGCTTCCATTAAGAAACAGAGTCTCAAATCCCCTAACACAGCACTCTTTCCTGGTACCCTCCCCAACCACTTTCAGAGACCCTCTGCCCCCAACCTTCAGACCTTCATCATCAAAGGAAACAGGACAAAATACCAAAGTCTCTGAGGAAAGAAAGGAAGTGGGAGGGGCTTTCTCACTAGCATACGCCACTACCAAATCTCCCAAGAATACGACTCCTTTTATAAGATTTGGCACGAAAGCAGGAAAACCATGAGTATGGTTTTGTTAAATGAAGACGGAAAAAAAGAACAACTTTTACTTCCTATGCAGAGTTATTGATAAACCAGACTATCCCTAAGCAAACCTGCCAAGCCTATAAAAAAAAAAAAAAAACTTTCAAATTCTTCTTCCTCATTTGGTGGTGTTCACTCCAGGCCCTTCCTATCCTTCTTCCTATTTGGCAGGATTAGGTACTATTTACCCTTACCAACTGAGTATGGTGGTGATGCAATGAGAGGCCCTGGGATGCAGCCACATGATATTTACAAACATCTGTGTTTGTATCTTCTTACTACTCTGACTCAGAAACACAATGGTTTCTACCCCCTTCCTCCCATTTCCCCAAC